ATGAAATCAATATGTCGAACATCGGCAACAGCATGGAATACTATTTGATCTTTGGACTTAGGAGTACGTTAAATTTGGTAAAAAGATGTCACTTCAGTAACCTGGGCAAGGAGACTTTTTATCCGAATAGCACTATAAAAATCATATTGAAGACTCTCCGTTAAGTCACTCAACCAATCAATCAAACAACATTAATCTTGATTTGAATACGGTAGCTACACTCATACTATGTTACAAAATTATCAGGTAGGCCTGATAATTAAAACTACCAATGGCTTTAGAAGATTTAACATCCCTAGGTAAATAGTTCCAGGCATGATTTTGAATGAGTTTGATTCTAAAATAGATTCTTCTGTTAGGACTTGAAAGCGGAAAAAAGGGAACACGAAGTTTTAACATGTTTTTTATAGAATCCAGCCTACAGCTCACCGCACTGTGTGGTGGTCCCTGCTGTGACGGATCTATATTGGTAAAACATCTCATGTTTTGCTTCACGAACAATACGATGGGTCTCATGCATTATCACAATGAATCAGTAGTAGAAAATGAAATGGACACAAAATTGTTCATCAAATATCATGTGTTATAAACTTACATTCATTCTCATCTAAAGATTTCTGTGTGCACAAGTCACGTTTACTAGTTTGTTCTCAATATCAAGCGCGCGAGATAAAGTAGGTATAAAAAGCTAGCAAGCCAGCATTTGAGTCCAAAACGGTTGTCACGGTTGTTTCTATGATAATTGTGGCAAAGAGGAAATCTTTAAGATTGTCTGACCGTAATTACAACAGCTATACAATGACGATTGAATAGGTAGGAAGTCATTTTGAGGAGTACGGATTATTTTCTTAAGAAATGGAAACAATAAAGAAATTAAAAAGAAAAGGAAACGAACATTGGATATTTATTCAACCTTTATATGAAAATATAAATAAAAATGTTCATTCGAATCTAATTGTTAACATGTTACTTTTTCTTTTCGACTATTAATGACCTTTTGAGGGGGGGGGGGGGGGGTTGTTCGTGCTACCCGTATTTCCCTCCCCCCCCCCAAAAAAAACAATTATATTTACTATATTTAGTGAAAAGTATTCTATTTCTAACTAACCGATACACTGTCAATTTATACTCAATAAATAGAGCCGGTTGAATCCGAATTTTTCTTTGTTTGACGAGACTCGCGTTTAGCTAGGTAAAGACTCGATCCTCTGATAACTTGAAAT